ATTGTAGCAACAGAATAAACATAAATAATATAAAATAATATAATGATAAATGAATAGAAACTCCAAAAAACATAAGATGATTGAGTCACATCATCGCTTCATGATAACAGTCCAACATTTATTTATTTATTTGGGATTTTTTCCCCCAATCCGATAACTTTGAGTCCACTTCTCAGCAGGATCCATTATTTCCCAGCATGCCGCCTGTTAGCAGCAAGCCCACAGTGTGAAGCGTATCACAGTCTCCCCCTGGTGTGTGTTATCACTTACTGTCATCACAGCAGTTAGTAACAGAGCCGAGCTCCTCACAGGACGGCAGCGCTGCACGCATATTTGACATTTTATGATGTTTCACTAGAGATGAAAGTGAGCATGAAGTATTTAAAGTAAGGTCGGCCGTAAACATCTGCAGCTGTGATATTAATATAATATAACACTGTGGTGAAGGGGGCAAGAAACGAACCCAGCACCCTTTCTACATTCACACCAGAACTACAGAAGTCACATTTCTGCAGTTCTTCAGACAGGAATATGAAAAATGAAACGTCATCTCCACTTAACTCTCTGTAAAAGTCCTCGAGCGTCACTGATCAGTTCTCACTGCAAACAACTTTTCACTTCTTTTAAAGATTATATTTAACTGGTTTCAGAAACACAGAAAAAGCTCTGAGCAGAGGACCAATCACAGGAGTCCAAGGCTGCAGGTCACACAGCTCCAGACGCCTGACCTGCTGTCGTTTCTTTCACTTTTAGGCTTCAGTTTGTGTTTGATTGGAACCAGGAACCAGGGTTCTTGTAGTTTTTTGTACTGCAGTGCTGTGAATACAGGTGAGGAGATGCCTCCTGTTTGGCTAAATATTAAACTGCAGCGCCCTCTTTGGGTGAAAGGATAGAGATGCATATTGAGAGATCTTCCATCAGAATTAGCTTGATTGACCAAGTGTGTGTCAGCAAGCGAGGAATATGGCTCCGGCTAGTTCTTGGCCCTCAGTCTACAAAACAGAAAAATGACATCAGCATAACAACAAGACACACAGCATGTTTATGGCTATATATACGATAGATAGATAGATAGATAGATAGATAGATAGATAGATAGATAGATAGATAGATAGATATCATACTTTAAATCAGGTTTA